TTGAATATTTGCTACAACCACCAAGATCTGCACCGACGTCTGCTGCCTGAGCATACCAATCCGACAGTTCTGCTATGACCCATGTTCAACTGCTGATCACATGGAACCCTTCTCCTTTTCGGCCTCTCATTTGAATATATGCACCGACGGCTGCTGCCTGGGCATACCAATCCGACCGTTATGCTGCTGCCGGGTCCGCTATGCCGACAAGCGAATGACCCATGTTCAACTGCTGTTCACATGGAACCGTTTTTCTTTTCGACCTTCCATTCTCTCATTTGAACATTTACTACTACCACCAAGATATGCTCCGACGGCCGCTTCCCGGGCGTTCTGCTATGTTCAACTGCTGTTCACACGGAACCCTACTCTTCTTCGATCTCCAAAGCTCTCATTCAAATATTTGCTACTGCCACCAAGATTTCTACCGACGGCTGCTGCCTGACATAACAATGCGACCGTTCCGCAATGCCGCAAGCGACTGACCCATGTTTAACTGCTGTTCACATAGAACCCTTCTTCTTTTCGGCCTCCAAAGCTCTCATTTGAATATTTGCTACTACCACCAAGGTCTGAACCGACGGCTGCTGCCCAGGCATAAATATGCGACCGTTGTACTAGGCCGACAAGCGACTGACCCATGTTTAACTGCTGTTCACATGGAACCTTTCTCCTTTTCGGCCTTCAAAGCTCTCATTTGAATATTTGCTACTACCCCCAAGATCTGAACCGACGGCTGCTGCCCGTGCATAACAATCCGACCGTTTTGCTAAGCCGAAAAGCGACTGACACGTATGACAATTTTCTTCTTCAAATTAGCTCTTATTTTAATATTAGCTACTGCCACCAAGATTTGCACAGACGGTTGCTGCCGGGGCATAACAATGCGGCCGTTCTGCTTGGCCGACAAGCGACTGACACATGTTCAACTGCTGTTCACATGAAACCCTTCTCTACGACCTTCAAAGCTCTCATTTGACCATTTGCTAAAACCACAAAAATATGCACCGACGGCTGCTGCCCGAGCATAACATTGCGGCCGACAAGTGACTTACCCATGTTCAACCGCTGTTCACATGGAACTCTCCTTCTCTTTGATCTTCAAAGCTCTCATTTGAATATTTGCTATTGCCACCAAGATCTGCACCAACAGCTGATGCCCGGGCACTTTTTAAGTTTTTAAGAAAAGCTAGAGTGAAATTTTGTGATATTACTTTGTGATATGATATTGATGATTGACATGCAGTATCATTATAATTTATGGTTGGATGTGGCTTCTGAGTTGATACTTTTTAATTTTTCAAAAAAATTCAGAGTGAAATTTTTTGATATTGCTTTGTGGTATGATATTGCAGTGTGTGAAATAGGCTATAAAGATTTAAGACCTGGAGTTTCAGATGAAGAGAACATAGAAATCACGGAAGATCCGAATTAGGAAATTCTGTTGACCATAGCAATCCAGATGAGGTTGAGCACAAAGCAGATTGCAGAGAGTAGCTTGGGTTTGAATGAAGAGGAACCCAACAGCAGTTTAAGTAGCAGCCAAAAACGACTAAAAGTTAGTGGATATGCTAAGTGCTTTTTTAGAATGCAGAACAGAATGTGAACTCAAAGATGGAGTCACTCAGGGAACTCAATGAGAAGAATGTTTTTTCATTATTAGACGAAGGGTCTGATTGAGACTTGGATACAATCTCCTCACAGCAGAGAATGATAGACAAACAATGACGTATCCTAAAGGCTAAGGTTAAATTATCAATTAGCAAGCCGCCCATCTGAACTTCTAAATTTATTGCCGATTAATTTTATAAAAGAATAATTTTAGCCCTAAACAAATAAGAATGGCATTCTGGAAATATCCCTAGACTGCAAGTAGTAGAAACTTATTTAAAATTTGTCACTGTTATCATTATCATGTGAGTACTGGTTTCTAGGATATGTAATTACCGGTAATGTGCTCTCGTGACCACTGTAATGTCAAAATTTATTAATAAAGACAATGTATCAACCAAATCTTGCACGGCATTTTTAACATAGCAAGCAGACATTTCAAATTCAAAAATTTATTGTCCTAGTACGCGCTGACATTCAAGGAGTGATCGTCGTTCATTTACCAAAATTTAATGCCTAGCTCTCATTTGGGTAACATCTTCCCTCTACTCAAAAACAGAAAATGTAACTTTCTATATAAAATAATTGAATTAAAACTATATTACTTATTGATTTGATAACTATACATTCTCTAATTACTGAAAATATAAGTTTTTTTAGGTTTTCAAATACCAGGTCCTAGGGCCTTCCGGAAGGCCCTTTTTAAAAAAAATTTGAAATGGTCTCCCTCCCATCATGTCTTTTGTGTTAGTATTACTTTTCAAATTTTTTTTTGGATTAGGTATTTGTGTTCTGGGTTTTTAGAAGAAAAAAACTAACTGACCTGACTACCTAACTGAATATACCGATAGTTAAAACAAGAATCCGTTTTTTAAAACTGATCTTTGAAAATTTTTGATGAAAAATTTGTAATTTACCAAAATACTTATATTTACGGTTTCTTTTGTTATCATATTTAGTTTTTTAGTGCAACAACATGTGACAAGCATAAACATTTTTTTTATTAAATTTTTCGTAAAAAATTGGCTCTTTGTCGAATTATCAATAATATTTATCATTGTTTTTTATGGCAAAAATGTTTTGGTAGTCAACACCCATTCTGAACGAATTATGTTGGACTACCGAGTTATCACTGTATATTCAAATGCCAGAATAAGAACCTTTCTTACATAATTAATTTTTCCAGGGAAGCAGAAAATTTTGTAAGTAGGAACACATTTTACCCTATAAACGCCCTAATTCGTTCTAAACCGCCACAAACTCTGACATCATATTTTATAAATTGTAAATAATTGTTAAAACCTGTAAAAAATACATGTTAGAATTAAATTACTGTATAATGAATAGAAAAAGTACACATAGAAAAAAAAAGAACAGAGAAACAACGAATAAAAACTACGACTATGCGAGGCTAAGCGAAGGCAACGGCGTGTGGGTGAAATATTCCTACGAAAAGTCATGTCATAATTTAGAAATATTGTATTTGGGGTCTTTGGTTGGTGGAAACCAAAACATCGTAGGGAAAATTTATACCACATGTTTGAAACACCGAATATATGGGGCTCCAGAAGTGTGTGTACCAATATGAAGGTAACTAATTTTGTTCGCCTACTTCACATCAAGTTGTGTGAAGGGACTGAAACCTATGGGCAGGGAGTACATTCACTTGGCTAACACAGACAGTGTCCGAACTTGTAATAGAACTTTCCGTGTAGCGGCTAAAAAGCAGACAAGGGGTCGGGAATCACTGATAGCACATCAACTGTCTGTTTGAGAAAATCTTTAGGTTGACTATTCTTCATAAATACTTTTAGATAACGGCTTTTTCAGAACAGTAGCGGTAGAAATTTAATTAATGTAATTTTAAAATTTTAGGACCTTCAAATTACAACGTATCACAAAATAAACACGTAAATAGTGTTGCGAGTTGCGACATACTCAAAGTTTCAATCAAAGTTTTTGAAATTGCACTATTTCACACCTACCAGCATACCAGTTGGGAACATTTGATGTAGAACATCGTTAATTGTCAGAGTAGGAATACCTTTTAAGTTAACCATTGTTCACAATTACTTTTAGATATAACTTTTTCAGGACAGTAGTAATGCAATTCTTATTTCCACGTAGCGTCAAAATACCATCGTTTGGGGGGGAAATTCGTAACTTTTCGAACTTTTGCTGTACTCTTATTCCAAGAGTGATCTTCCTTGGCCTATGACTAGAAACTTGCTAATACAACTTCTTGAACTTCTTCATATGACATTTTTGTGATAAAATATGTTAATATTTCCATCTATTTATTTTGTACATACAAAAAATTTTATTCGATTATAAGTCTACCATATCTGATTTCATCATAATTATTTTGTCTGGCACAATATACAAATATGGTTAAATTACACAACCGTATTAATGGGGTTTACGTTCAACATCGTTTCCATATATGTGGGCACCAGACTTTGCATTCTTGCCAAAACTTTTCCTTACTCTTCAACAAATAGCAGAATAAATCTTGCATCCATCTATAGCTAGGTCAAAACTTTATCGATCTATTTCATGAAACTTACAGGTTTGTGATTTTTGTCGAAGGCGAAAAACAAATTGGCTAATGGTTTCCTCTGCTTATTGCTTCAGTTGTCGAAATATGTCATTCAAATGAAGAATTGCTTTTCAGAAGAAACTAATCCTCCAAAATTTTGACACCAAATTTTAATAAAGTTCTCACAATTCGAGGTCTCTTATCTGTATTAATAACGCAACTTTTTGATCCTCTTTATCATTAAATGCATTCGGATATTTAAACTGAGTTCAATCCATGTTTTCAGTGTTTTCACCTCACTGTTAATATTTTCATATCACATTACGAGTCGAGTTGTCATGTGGGTCAACTTGAAAGCCTGTATTGCTGATTTTGTTTCAAATCATAGCCAATATATAACGGCTATGGTTAAATTATAGAGGGTCAACATAGAGATACCACCTCTGTGTGACGTCATAGTTCCGCATGAGTAAAGAGGTATGACCTTCTCAGCGCTTACCCTTAGCCCAATTTGACCGAAGGTTTTTTGTTGCCCCAAGCTGCGGGCATTTTTAAGTTATTTTGTAACGCTTCGTATATATATATATATGAGTAGATTAGCTCTAAAAATCACGCTAGCTTTCGTTTCGATGCAATATTTATGTCACAGACTGTGAACTTCACCTAACACGGTACGATAACCTGGCACCGGTACGGTAACTGCTGAACTGACAGCAGTAGCAATAATATTATTCAGATACTGCTATTTCATTTTCGGTAATTTTGCTTTCAGGCCCGTACCACAGTATTGTAGACAACTTAGCTCTAATCTATCTACCGCGTACATATAGTTCTAATCGTAGGTACCGTACTTGCACAGGAATCCTTTATTTCAACTTATGTGAAGAGGGAACACAGTTTGGAGAAGCAAACCAAGTATTTGTGGTATCGATACGTGAGTATTGTTATATATATATATATTAAGTGATATAAATAATTTTTACTATGCCAGCTGGAACGCATTGTGCAGTGCCGGGATGCAGCTACTCCTATGTCAAGTCTAGGAAAGCAGGACAGTCTATAAAAACACTATTTTCTGTTCTTCGGCCCGATCTGGCAAAGACTCCTCAGGAAAGGAAACACCGGGAGGGGTTGTCCAATTTTTTATTGGCGATGAGAGACAGTAGCAGAGGAGATAACATCAAGGCTATGCTGCACAAAGAAACGTAATATACTTATCTAGGCATACTAAACATATAAACAAATTTATACAGCCTATAATAGTATAATTGAGTAATTGCGTTCAAAAATTCTGCTGTGTGGATTATCAGAAACCCGGAATATTTGTTAATTTTTCTTATCGTATATTTATCGTTTTAATTTGCTAAGCCTACCAAGCCATCTAATTTGTTTTGCATTTAATTCAAATTTTGCACAAAATGACCATAGCTAGCTTTTGACATCTTCATTTTATACCAATATGTGAAGACCATTTCCTGGGAACCGATATACTTCGGCATGGGAAAAAAAGCTCTTCAAGACTCGGAGCAGGAAAATTTATTGCAGAGATGAGAAAGGATGATTACTGCGTGCCTAGTATAAGGTAGTTGTTTTTAAACAGAAGTTATCAATTATAGTTTGGTTTTCAACTTGCAGAGAATAGGATAACATGTTAGTTTTCAATTATTTTGTTGCTGTGTCATTTGAGTAGTAATTGAGTTTGACAGCATGAATTGTAAGTTCAGCAGTTTTTCATTGTAGCGCAAGTTTGTCGTTAGGGAATATTTTTAGATGGCAGAATAATAAAACTCATACTAGGAGGCTACAGGATTGTACAGAGTAAATAGCTAAGATAAATTGCAAATACCAAATCACAAATATACCCATGAGCCATATGACATACCAAATTGTATCTAACAACTTATCAATCTAAAACAAACTGAAATAATTTTACACAATGATGAAAAAAGAGTTGAGTATGGAGAAGATGGTGCAATGCAAAGTGCTCATTTTTCTGGTTGGAAAGTCGAGATTGCAAAGCTAGGAGTTGACAGATGTGATACTCTGAATTCAGTTTTAGGTATACATTTTCTTTTGACAAGTTCACCTTTGTTTTGTTCTGTAACTCAAATTTGTGTTATCCATTTGGACAAATTAGGCAAATTGGAGTTGTGTTGCGGTATTGATCGGCGGGATGGCAGTACATTGGTTCACCCAGTTTTGTCGTGGGGAGGTGACAAGATTAATATCAAAAATATATATCGGTCAACATCATGTAGCACAATTGGTATGTTAGTAAAAAATCGCTGTTCGACTGTCTCGAGAGCATATATATGATTGCAGGATATTTTTAGTGGATGTGTCAATTGGATGCCCAATGTGCAGCAGCTGCATGTCAGAACAGTTCAAAAATGACGAGGAAGAACACCATCCAGGTCATGTTGCAAGTTGATGATACTGTGCATGATATGATCAAGGTCATGTTTACTTTTTGTTTTATTTCACGATCAAATAATTTTTAATGTACTAGACTCAAGAGATTAATTGTATGACTGACTTGTGAATATTTCACAAGGCCATTTTCGCTTCTGAAAGTTCCATCTTGAATACTTGGCAGCAAATGTTTTTTGGTCAGCAGCTTGCCAACTCCAATGCTCACCCCTCTTCACGTCGGTACCATCCAGATGTGATTCGTTGGGCTATGGAACTCTATTGCAGATCGCCTTCTGCCCATGATCATCTGCGAACAAGTCAGGTGCTGACTCTCCCTTCCCCAAGCACTTTGAATCGCTACAGGTAAATGTAATGCTTCTGACAATTGTTGGGGTGTACTATGGTGAATTTAAATTAACTTTGATAACCATTTGGCCATGTTGTTTTCTTTCAGTCTATTTAAAAAAAATATTTTGTCTATTATCTGTCTACTTATTATATCATACATTGGTCAGTGACTCGCGATTGCTGATTTATTTTTGCAGAAATGTCATTCCACCACAATCTGGGATTAACAAACTGGCATTGAAAGAAATGGAGAGAGTCATCAAAGACAAGGGTTCATTGATTGGATTTGTTGCTCTCGATGAGATGAAGGGTAAGCTCACTTTAATTTTTATTTACAATCTTACATCATTGTCATATATATGAATCTCTGATACAGTTAGAGAAAATCTGGTCTGTCGTAACAGCAAATTGATTGGTTTCGTGGACAAAGAAATGGCAAGGAATGGCAATAATGACCAGCTTGCTTCACACATTTTAGGTAAGTTGTTACTGGGGTTTTACTACGGTAGACTTTTCATGTAACATATGTTTCTTCAGTATTCTAAGTTAGAACCGTGAAGCGAGATCTGTCGATTCCTTTGGCGTGGTATGCAACCCGTAACTCCCCAGCCTCCAAGCTTTGTCGGGTGTTTTGGGAACTTTTAATTGAATGTGAGAGCCGAAGCGTAAAGATCCTTGCTGTAATCGCAGATGGTCACAGTACCAACCGCCGCTTTTTCCAACTTTTAAGTGGCAACTTGGAATTGCCTTGTGATGGTGTATTGTTTGCTCCTAATATATGCGACTCTGACAGGAACATATACCTATGTTCTGATCCATCACATTTGATCAAGGTAATAAAAGAAATGGGCAAATGGCATTGTATAATGTTTACCATGATGCGTTAATTTTAACAGTCTTTTTTTCATTTGTTCAGACTGTTCGAAACTCGTTATATGCATCAAAAGTTGGTGGGAAGAAGCATATGCGCCGAGGTGGCCAGGACATTGTGTGGAGGCATATTAAAGATTTTATATGCAGGAATCTGTTCAGGTCCTTGGCCGTACCAGACTGAGTCCATCACATGTAGAGTTAACACCATATAGTAAGGTAAGCTAATAGTCTAATTGTGTTGGTTTGGCCGCACGACACGCTGATGAAATCCCTGAAATGGACTTATTTCAACTAAAATTTTTGATTCGCTGCCAATGCCCTTGACTGTGGTAACAGGATTTTAATAACTAATTTTTTTTAATACAGAGTGATTTGGGAAAATCTTTTTATTTTCAGATGAAAGTCAATCTTGCAACTGATGTGCTGAGCTGGAACGTCGGCCAATGTTTAAAAACAATGAATGGGACGAATGGAACTGCCAAATTTGTTTTGATGTTTGCAAAGTAAGTCGGTCATTTTTTAAAGAAAAAAAATTCCCTATTTTTGTGTCAGTTATGCATGTATCGTCCATTCAGATGGTATGAAATTGTCAACTGTTCCTGTAATTGCCCCATACGATGCGTCGACGATGATAGACTGTCTTGGTTGAAGAATGACTTCATAGGTTCACTGTTGGAGTGGGAAGTGAGTTGTATTTTTTGTATGGTTTTATTCAATATGATCACAATCTCTAAAAAGATCTACAACCATAGCATTTGAAGATTATATTATATTTACTATGCCATAACATTGGAAATGAGAGATGTCATTTTGGGGTTGGCTAGTGTTATTTTCATGCATTATTTATTCTTGAAAACAATTATAGAATGAGCATGGTGGAGATGAAAGGAGTTTTCTGGCTCGCCCAACCTTAGAGGGACTGAAATTCACCACACACAATTTCATAGAGATGTGCAAATACCTTCTGGCAAATGGTTTGGAATATGTGTCTTTGCACTGCTTTAATCAGGATGTTTTGGAAGCTTTCTTCGGAAATTTGGTGAGATTTTTTTTGGGGGCTGAACTGTATCTATCTAGCCATGTATATATCTAATCCGCAGCATCACTTTCATAGAGACAACTTGGATCTAGATCAAGCAATCCAGACATATCTCAAGTATCCTATAGAACAGTGCTCTTCAACCGGGTATATACAACTGCTAAAGGGTATACGAAGGGTGTACAGCCTAAGTTGGGAATTCTAAACTGTAATATAATAAATTATAAAAATATTCAAGCGGAGACAACAATGCAAACGCGGCGCAAATGAAATATAAAATTGTATTTACACAAATAACCGACTCAAGCACATTGTTACATCACAAATTATATAGATAATGCGGGCACTTGTCTGGGTTGGTGATTTTGACTGCCTTGCTTATGTTGAGCAATATTCCCGTTGACGCTAAGGCTGTCAGTCAAATTACAGCGTTTATAACTTGCGGACACTAGCCTATTAGATTGCATGATGATATTGCAGTATAATCTGTGCTTAAAATGTAATGTTTGTTTCGGGCTTGAATAAACATTTGTATTTGTAAGGTATACAAAGTTCTTGAAAATTTGTAAAAGGTATACCAGGGTAAAAAAGGTTGAAGAACACTGCTATAGAATAACCCAAATTTCGCAAAGAAAGATCATCAAGAAGGTCAAAGTTGGTAATACAACCTATGGGAAAGCGAATGCCTGGACAGACATATGTGAACATCCATTGCCATCAAAAAAATGAACATTAGCATAATTTCGGCTGCAATCATGACTTACGATATTTAGAATTTGCAGATTATGCTTTTTCTCTTATAATATCGTGGATTGTTGCCGTAAAATCAATATTGGTCTTTTGTTCGAAACATTTGACCATACACACAAGGCTTTGGAGTCGGAAGTCCAACATTTTTTTATATCGTAGCTGTGCGCAAAATTTGGTTGAATTAATCAGAGTCAAATTTTTATCGTAATATCCCATTCAAATTTTTCTAAAAAACTAAGCATTGAATTGACTAGAGTATTTTCAATAGATAATTAAATTCAGTAAGACTCAATAAAGTTTTTGTAAAAGTTTGGTTTGTTGTAGCCTGTTTCGAACTCTTCGTCAAATTTGAATTATGGTCTAAATTTACTGGACTTCACAGCCTGCTCGGAAACTTATTAGTGCTGTTTTATAATAGCATGGCAATCAAATAACAAGTTTGGCTGGCAGAAGATTGAAGTGGATGATGCAGTTTATTGCCTGGTGTATTTGAGACTTTGTGTATTTTAGTCGAATCAAATTTAATTGGGTGCTTTTTGTTTGGTACATAAGAGAAACACTGAGATAACCCGGCCCACACATTTAACAATAGACTCAATCAAGTACCTCAAGCTTTTTATTTTAGCAGTTACTAAAAAAAATTAATTGAAAATATGACTGTTGCTGATTCTTGCCAAATCTGGTCTAGTACCTCTAGAACAGACCCCGGGGCCCTCTTTTTGAATAATTTGTAAAACAACTTTCTTGCATATGCATGTGAAAGCACTCTTATAAATAAACTCGTTACATATCTTGCTATCTTGACACTTTCTTTGTGTCCATTGCAATAGGGTAGCATGTCATTGACATTGGTATCAAAGTTTTGAGACTCTTCTAACTTATTTTCAATTCCTGCAAAGTCTATAAGATGTGGCTGTTTAGCACATTCCTGCGCTACTTTTTGGTAAGCCTCTTCTAATAGTAACAAGTATGCTTGAGTTGGATACTTTAGCTTTCCTCCGGGAACTGCAGTAATGGGATTGTTGAATGGGAGGGCCTTTCTGCACAGAGGGAGTCCAGGGCTTTTGCTGATTCTGCAAATTTAATATACCCCTTTTTCACGGTATATCCTGCAATGTACTCAATTATGCCTTTTTCATAACTGTCGACCTGTTCGCAAAATAAATTCTCGGGGTGGCAAATGTTACATTGTCCTCCAGTGGCTTGAGAATGTAGTTGGTTATTTCCAACATGGCTTTCGCTGTAAAAATTTTCTTCGTATGCCCAGCGAACATCTTTGGCGAGAGGTGTGAGCATTGAGAGAATTTTAGCATGACTTGGTCAGCTCCTTTCTCTCTGGCAAAGACTTGCATGAGGGCTTTTATAATATTCAAGCCTTCAAATGTTAGCAGTCGGATCTTACGTTATTGACCAATTTTATAACTTGATCATCGGAAACTTCCGGAGTTCTTCTATTTTTTACTTGTGTTGATGCTTTCGAATGGGGAAATTCTTCGATTTTATCGAAATCTCAAAAAGGAACTCAACAATTCCATGTATCTCGTTAGTAGCCATTACAGATGAATAACAGTAAGTAAGATAACTTATAAGTTACTGAGTAATAAACTAGAGCTAGGCTGGGTATGTGAAAAATAATTAATTACAGAGATTGTGCAAATTGACAATCTAAACGTGGTAATGCTTTTGACTTTTAATTAATCAACACTCCTTTTTTTCTCACTAATTAGGCTATGTGGCTGATTTCAGACAGATAACGGTTTTAGCATCGATTTAGTATGAGAATAAATGGTAAGATAGCAGTCCGATAAAAAATAGGTAAAATACAGTGGTTTTCAATCGCAGAGGCCAATACAATATTGATAGTATACAGTAGAGAAACATATTTAATAATTCTGAAAGCAAACTACCGAATCATGACCCGGAACTGATGGATTGGCTAGATACGAACCCGCGACATCTTAACACCAAACGGCCAACGCTGAAATAGATCGCGCTGAGAAAAACATCGCATTTCCCACTTCCGTACCTCTTTACTCATGTGGAACGACCTTTGAACCCGCCAGTGAATTCTCTATTATCATTCTCTGTGGTTAAATTCGATTTGTCGTATAACGGATCAACTCAAATTTTTTTTGATTACCCTCTATCTTCAAACATGGTTATTGCGTGGCGGGACTGTATTGTCCTATTTTTATTGTTTTATATTTTATTTATATTTCTTGTCTAGTATTGCATATACATTGGTGTGTGGAGTCTGATCCATAATTCGGCCTATAGTTAGATCCTGTTATTCGACTCCAACCACCACTGCATATGTGAACTGTGAACATTATTGCTGCTTTGATTAAGATTCACAGGTTCTTTGTACATAATAAGTAGCTTAGTTAAAATATTGTCACAATTGAAGGAAAAATTGACGAATTAAATAAGAAATTGGAATTGATGGAATCCAGAATTACCAAAAATCTAAAACTTGAATTAAGAGCAATTGTAGGAAACAGTATGAGAGATATTCTCGAAGAGTCAATCAGCGAACATGACAGAAAAATATCGACCCAAATCAACGAATCCGTCCTGAATAATACGCAACAAATGGCGGAAAAACTAGAAGCTATGTTCCAACAAAATGACGAATTAGTTGAAAAGCTGGAGTGTCTACACATGAAAAATTCAAAGCTTGACACCGATCTGAACGCAGTGAAGGCAAGCCAAAATTTTATTAACGCAGAGTTCGAAATTCAAAAGGACTACCTAATGAAGCTTGATCAAATGGTTAAAGATCTATCTGAAAGCAACAAAAGCCTGTTGAGTTTGTGCACTACCCTTCAAAAGCGTTTTGATACTGAGCTGGAAGACCTTGCTCAGTATGTACGAAGAGAAAATCTGGAATTTCATGGAATTCCATTTAAGAATGATGAAAATACAGACAGGATTATAGTGGATCTGGGCAGACGATTAGGCATCACTGTTGAGAGACTTGACCTATCCATATCACATCGAATCCCAAGAAAAGATGGCTCTAACACTGGACCTATAATTGTTCGCTTTACCAACAGAAACATAAGAAATCAGTTCATAGCCAAAAAGTACGACACCACCAAAATTAAAGATTTCGGCATCGCAGGTATGACTTCACTTTATATTAATGAAAATCTGACAAACTTTCGAAGTAATCTCCTTTATAATGCCAGACTCATCAAAAAATCCAAAATGTTCGAGAGACTCTGGACAACAAATGGCAACATTTATATGAGAAAGACCAAAGATAGTCCAAGAATCCCAATAAAAAAGCTGTCAGATTTAGATAAACTATCGTAATTGCATTTTGTTAAATTCATACCTAGTACAGTAGCTTAGCAAAATGGCTTCACAGCAATTTTGCTCAAATTGCGCCAATACCTTGCTGACTTACAACAATATTTTTTGTACAACTTGTTCAAAGTGTTTTTTTTCATTTAATTATTGTCCAAATAGAATAGACAGAAAACTAGAAACTCTTGACACGTCATATTTCAATTATATTAATGTCAAGCCATGTATGTCTCTTGAAACAGTTGATAGCGTTCTGAATAATTTGAAAACTCCTAACTCGTCAAATCACCAATTTACTTTGGCTCATTTTAATATTAGATCATTACAAAAGCATATCGATGAGTTATCTGACATTATAGTTGATTTAGATTCATTCCCTAGTGTAATAGCAATCTCAGAAACCAAACTAAAAAGCGATCCTGTGGTTAATATTAGTATTAGAGGTTACAATTTCTTACACACTCCGACCAAAACTAATGCTGGTGGGGTTGGATTATACTTTAAGTCAAATTTGAATCCGTCGCTGGTTAACAAATATATGTTAGGCTTCACCTCTTGTGAAGACCTGTGGGTAGAAATACCCATTAGCTCGGGGAAATTCTCTTCAATCATTGTTGGAGTTGTATATAGACATCCAGGTTCCAATGAATCAGATTTTATGAATGCACTAAGCTTAACTTTGTATAATTTGGCCATAGATAAAAAAAAATTTGTAATACTAGGGGACATAAACATAAACTTATTTAGCTGTTCAAAATTCACAAAAGATTTTCTTGACATGCTGAGGTCCCATGCCACAATTCCACTGATTACACACCCAACGAGAATTACTAGTTCCAGTTCTACTTTGATAGATCATATATATTCAAATATCAGCGAAAAAAGTGTTTCTTCAGTTGTCTGGCAAAATTGTTTGACAGATCACTATCCAATTTTTTGTCAATTTCAGATTAAACATGCATTATCCCATAATCAACAAAAACTAAAACGTGATATGAGAAATTTTAATTCCGCTAATTTTGCTCAAGATGCTCAAGAATTGTTTGATTCTTTTGACCTTTCTAATGTTGATAGTCAAAATTTCAATTTTCACTTTGAAGATTTTGTCTCAAAAGTATTAGGTCTATGCAATAAACATGCGCCAATTCGTAAATTAACTAGAAAAGAACGCCACCTAGAAAGAAAACCCTGGATAACCACTGGCATTTTGCGTTCTACCAAAGTGAGAGACAGATTGCACAAAACTCATTTTATTAATGGTTCAATAGAACAAAAACTTCACTATAAAAAGTATGCTAACAAATTATGCCATCTAAAAAATAAAGCCAAAGAGATACATTTTTCCAAATGCTTTGAAAAAAATATAAATGACCCTAAAAAGACTTGGAATATATTAAATTCATTGTTAAACTCTAATTCTAGCAGAAATGTACCCCAAAAGATAACCAATCAGCACTCTGGGGAGGTTATTCATGACAGTATCAAAATTTCTACAACATTTAATAATTACTTTTCTCAGATAGGGAGAAATCTAGCCGCAGTATTTCAAAGCGTAAGTGATCGCGAACACCTTAAATTTATGGGGGCCCCAATCGTATCATCCATGTTCATGGAAGATGCATCAGTGATGGAAATAAAAAATACGATAAATTCTTTAAAAACAGATAAAGCAGCTGGGTATGATAACATACCGGCATATCTCTTGAAACATCTTTGTGGGTCTATTAGTTCTTCACTGTGCAAACTCTTTAATTATTCCATGTCCCTTGGCATGTTTCCAGACCACCTCAAAATAGCTAGGTTTGTTCCTGTGTACAAGGCTGGAAAAAAGATGATGTGTCCAATTACCGTCCCATTTCTATGCTTTCGTGTCTCTCAATTGTTTTTGAAAAACTTATACTTGCTCGGCTAAAAAACTTTTTAGACAAACACTCAATAATAAATTGTGATCAGTTTGGTTTTCGAAACCACCATTCAACTAAACATGCAGTCTTAGACATTATTAGCAAATATTACGAAATCATTGATAAGGGATTGGTAGGATGTAGTGTATTTTTGGATTTGAAGAAAGCATTTGATACAGTCGATCACAAAATACTCATTAGCAAACTCTAACATTATGGAATTCGTGGTAGTGTAAATAAATTATTTTCTAGTTACCTGAACAGTCGTAGTCAATTTGTCGCTCTTTCAGGCAGTGAATCTGAACATGAATTTGTCTCTGTAGGAGTCCCACAAGGATCGGTGCTCGGTCCAACTTTGTTCTTAATATATATCAATGATGTCGTAAATTCTACCCCAGCATTTGTCAAACTCTTCGCTGACGATACCAGCACAACCTCGATTTCCTCCACTGTTGCCATTTTGTCCACCAAAGTTGAGCAAAATTTAGATAATATTTCTGAATGGATGAAAGCTAACAAATTAACAATTAATCCTGAGAAAACACAAGTACTATTAATTAATCATCCCTCTAATAAAAAGCAGAAGTCTTCCTCTAGCCTCCATTTAACTTTGAATGGTGCTAACCTGAAAGTTTGCGACTCTGTGAAATATCTTGGGGTATTTATTGATAACAGGCTAAATTGGGACACCCACATTAACCACTTGAAATTGAAATTGTCCAGGGCTGTAGGAATTATAACAAGGTTAAAAAGTTTAATTCCCAAAAAATCCTTCGAACTGTTTATTTTTCCCTCTTTTATGCACACCTACAGTATGGAATTGTGGCTTGGGGCTCAGCTGATAGAAATAGACTCCATGCTCTGTCAGTCTTACAAAATAGAGCTGTCAGAGTTATGAGTAACACCCCACTGCATCATAGCATGAGTCCTATTTATAAGGAAATGAATCTTTTAAAACTTAATGATGCGTATATTCACGAGGTGGCAAAACTAATGTACCAATTCAGAAATAACATGTTACCACAGGCTTTCGATGCATATTTTACTGACTGTGGAGATGTCCATTCTTATTACACGCGCTCAGCATCTAAAGGTGCTTTTTTTATTTCCAGGACAAATCTCAAATTTGCTCAAAAATCTATAAAAATTGCGGGTCCCAAAATTTGGAATGATATACCTGATATTTTTAAAACATATTCATATAAAAAATTCAAATTTCAGTCTATGAAATATATCATTTCTAAATATCAATCCTAACACCAGTGGTATTACCAATTTGACAGATAAGAATTGGAGGTCAAAAGTTCATTTCTATCTCGTTTTCTGTCAATTGTATTGTGGGTTTCTTTTCACTAATGATTAATAACAGATGAACTGACAACCCGTGACACCCACTGTGTAACCCATGCCACTGACTTACTAAGCATATCTACATATCTCCTGATCTATAACTATGCAAGCTCAGACTAGTACATTTTACACTAAAAGTTCCCTGTTCTTTAGTTAATCTGTTCTGATCTATAACTATGCAAGCTCAGATTAGTGCATTTTTTTCAGTTCATGATCTAAAATGCCAGCACTTAAAATTGTATATTTTCTTGGGATATAATGTCTGGTATGCATGGGTGGAGTACTCATCATTGTGCTCAGTGGTGCTACACCGTGAAACTTTATTATAAAATGGGGAGATGATTGCCCGCATAAGATAACAAAACGAAATTGAATTTGAGGTTGAACAATAATTGAAGAATCTCATGCAATTATCCTTGATTCTAATTTATGTAAATTTGTCCAGTGGAAATCATCTAGACCTATTAATAGTATGTGTGGTTTTATAGTAAATGGTGTTATCTAAAATTGCTCTACTGAAATTTAAAATGAAATCCACTATATCACATTGTATGTATATTATATCATAATTCAATATCTGTTCAGTTCAGCAGATATCTGGATGAAATTTTGCTATTATATGTAACCTGTAATTAGGTTTTCTTTGTTGCATTTTGATGTGACTATGGTAGTTCTTCACATAAAATTGTATAGCATATTGAACTTTTATTTGAGTTCACATGCTCATGTCTAGAGTTTACATTATTTTTGTTTATATGGACTATTCCTAGACTTGCTGTAGAAAATTAGCTTACCAAATATTGACTTGAATTGCATTTGTCTCACAAGTAATGTTTGTTATTCATATATTATTGTTAAAAATTGTTATGTATTATTGTATATTACTGTTCCTTAAATGACATGCAGACATTTCTCTGTCACAATATTTATGTTACCTTTTATATGTTAATAGTACTTTATGAAAATAGGTACTGTATGTTGGCTCTTATTCTCCTGAATTTATTTTTAGTTCTGGCCTATAGAATTAAACAATTCATGCTGTAGGTTGAAGGCGTTTATTACCTTATGTTGATATAAATTGCTGAATCCTATTATCTGTGTTAAACCAAACTTTGATTAATATCTCAAATTATCATTATTGTATATGTTGATATGAATTGCTGCATTCTATTTTCTATCTTAAACCAAACTTGCATTTATATTATTAATCCAATCTATAGGAGTTATATCTCAAATCTTCTTTAATGTATATGTTGTATATGTTGATATAAATTGTTCTGTGTTTAAACTTGCATTTATATGTCTCAAATCAAGATTATTGTATATGTTGATATGAATTGCTGCATTCTATTTTCTATGTTAAACCAAACTTGCATTTATATTATTTAATCCAATTTAAAGGATTTATATCTCAAATCTTTATTAGGCTATTGTATATGATGATATGAATTGCTGCGTTCTATTTTCTATGTTAAACCAAACTTGCATTTATATTATTAATCCAATCTAAAGGATTTATATCTCAAATCATTATTGTATATATTGATATGAATTGCTG